TCTTTTCTGCTTCTTCCTTCCTATAAGCACCATCACTCCTATGTCACAGTCCTTCTCCTTTCTCTTCCTGTTCCTCTTCCATTCTTGCTTCTCTGCATCTTAGCTCCATCTCAGGCCACTGCGCTTCGGCAATTTAGCCTCATCCACTCTATTTGTCACAATGTTCTGAATCCCGTTTTTAAATCTGGGTTTATTTTGATCTTTCTCTTTCAACTCAAGGCCATGCCTTGCTTCAACTCACATCATCTTCGCCTCTTTTCTTTATCTTTCCTTATTCTTCTGTTGTTACAAAGAGGATGGCCCCATAAGGATTTGTCTTAAGTGATAAAGTCAGCAGAAGGAAGGGGCATGGGGGACTGGAAGGACAAGGACCCAGTGGAGCAGCAGATTAAGATGGCTTCCCCATGGCCATGCTCACATTCCCAAGTGCCTGAGCTAAGGGAAGTCCAGAACCTCTTAGGCAAAATGAAGAAGAGATAAGTGATCCCTGTGGTTTGGCAGAGAGCTGTGGCAACAGAAGCTGGCCGAGCCTTCTGAGCAGGCTATTTGGGAAAAGATGCTCAGTCTTACTAGGAATCGGGGATATGCAAATTCTTGCCTATCACAAAGGTAACAATTTAAAAACCAAACATTCATCAGAGTTGGCAAGGGTGTGTGGAAACACTGTCAAGCTAGCAATGGGGTAAATTGACAGGTTTTCTACAGCACAGTTTGGCAATATATCTATGCTTTGATGTCTATGGCCTTTTCCCCACACCTGCAATGTGTAGGATGTGGCCCCCAAAAAACAATTAACATGAAATCATTACACACCTCTGCCTTGTTTATAAGAGCTAAGTGCGGTTGTGAGAGATCCTGGCAAAGGGAGGCTCACTCTTTGGGGGTCTGGAGGAGAAGGATGGGGGAGGAACAAAAAGAGAAGCAGGGACCTAGCTGTGGTGGCACATGCTGGAAGACACCGCTACTTGGAAGGCTGTGGCCACAAGGAAGACATAGGTTCGGTTCCTGGACTACCCTGAAAGCCAGGCACAGTGGTGTGCCTCTGTAGTCCCACCTACTCCAGGGGCTGAGGCAGGAAAATTGCAATCTTGAGGCCAGCCTGGGTAATACAGTGAGACCTTGTCTATAAAAAGTAGGCACAGAGGCACACACCTGCAATCCCAGCTACTCAGGAAAATGCAGGGAAGATCGTCACACAGTGAAACTCTGTCCAAAGAAACAAACAAATGAACAAAAGCAAAACATACAAAAAACAAAAGTGTAAGAGAGAAGCAGATATGGAAAAAGAAGAGAAGAGGGAGCAGGAAGGAGCATGAGAGAAGAGGGGTGGGCAGAAGACAGACCGGAGAGAGACAAGAGCAAGAATGGAAGAAGGATAAAGGGGCTAATGGGTGAACTTGAGAGAAAAGCACAGGGAAGAGAAAGGGAACCGGAGAGAGGGAGAGAAGAAATGCCATCAATATGCAGCCAACTACAGTGCATGCCGATCACACAGGCATGAAGAGGAATGATGCCATTCTCTATTATAAAATGGAAAGATGGTTAAATGGAAAGAGCAGGATACAGAGCCTCAAGCATAGTGTGGCCCCATTTATCTAAAATGATCGGACAAGGCTAGCAAAGGGATTCCTATGTGTGCACCAGGGTTATACTCTACTTCATATGTTTCTAGTTTGTCAGAGTTTAATAATTAATTTCTAGCAATATGCAATGCACTAAAATTCTACATAATTTAGACAGAGTCTTCTACTTTCCTGTGAGAATTAACTATGATGGAAACAAATTGTGTAGATGCAATGATACCACCTGCTTTTATACTACAGAAATGTTCTATTCTTCATGTGATAAATGTAAACTGTTCATTAACATTTCACTTGTAGAAACCTGTACTGAAAAGACAATGGAATAGGTTATGACTACAGATGTCACCTGCCTGGCTATTGTTTGTCCAAATCATGCCAGGGCATTTATCAAACCAAGATACTTTTCTTCTTGAAATCATAATGTTATCATAGATGACAAAAGAAGCCATCTTCATTCAGGTTCTCCCTAAAGCAGTCCCTGAAACAGGAACTTGATGAAAGGTATTTTCTTTTTCTAGAGAGAGAGATTTTTGTTATAGGGCACAAGCACTCACCAGAGAGAGACAGAGAGATAGAAAGTGAGAAATCACCCCCCAAGGGGATGACCATGCCACAATCCCTTCTCTATTCTCTCAGGATTTGGGGCATGCACGTATGTACACATGCCCGGCATGAGTTTTAAGCCGCTGGGTCCAGGACTCGAACCATGGTCGACTATGTGGGAGTCTAGCTATGTAACTATTATGCCATCTGCTGGTCCTGATGACAGGTATTTTTTAGGGTGTGGATAAGGTAAGATTGGGAAGGAGGAAGGAAAGCCAAGAAAGGGTGCATTAATGAGTGGAGTACTACAACAGACAACTAGGGTTCAGTCCCTCTGCAAGCTTTCTGAGAAACTGTGTAAAAAGAATCACAAAATTGTTCACTGGGGTCAAGGGAGTCAGGAGCTTTATCTTTTGCCCCTGGGGTCATTAAATCCCTAGTACTTGTGGGCCATGAGAATCTGGGCCTCAGATGCCTATTGAGGTCTATGGCAAGCATGATGCTATTCAAATTATGTTCATTGTCTCAACAAAACCTTACAACTCCTTGGAATACTGGCCTTCTTTAACAAATTAGGAATCTGAAGTGCCAAAGATTCAGCCACTTGCAGAAAATCCAACAGTTAATAAGCAGCATGACTGGGCTCCAAATCCACTTTTGCCTCTTCCACTGTATGCTGTGATGTTACAAAGCCATGCTGTCGATTCTCAAGCACAGCTGGCATCCCCTTGCTCGGTCACACAGCCTAAAAAATGCATGCACATTTCCAGCCTCCCTCCTTGCAAAAGAAGGGTATCAAGGGCCAGCTCCCTGCCCAGTGGTAACACACTGCTCAAGAGAGGCTAGATCCAATGTGGCAACTATGGTCTAAATTCCTGGCACGGTCAGGCTGAAATACATGGGACACACACACAAGACCCCGAGATTCAAAGGGCTAGATGATGGAGTAATGAACTGCAGCATATCCAGACCCTCTCTCATTTTCTCTCACTCTCATGTGTGCACGCACACACACTCTATCTTGAATAAATAAAAAAAAATAAAAGAAAGGTATTGAGATACCTGCCCAGGCTGTTTTAATCTTTTTGTATCCACAGAAAAATCTTCTAGGTCATAATCCGCCAACCATATGAAATTTTTATAGCACCATCACCCGTGGCTGCTCCCACCCTAAATACCAGTTACTATGAAATTATGCCAGAATGTGGATCAAAGCATAAGGGGAAATTCAAGGCAAATTTTTGTCTGATGAACTCATGGCAGAGAATCAAATTTCATAGAGGGTTCCAGATTCTAGTATATTAAAAAACAATCTATAACTTTACTGTGAAGAGAGTACTTTATTAAAACAAATAAAACACGCTGAGCTCTGCCCGGACACAGAGGTCATGCTGATGTGTGAGCCAAGGAGAGTCTTTCCTTGCTTCAGTCCAAAAGATAATAATCTGCAAATCACTAGCATCTGAGGCTGGCTTGATTTAAAATGCACATAGATATAGAAAAAGTCCCAGGGAAATCACTGTATTCAAACCTTGCTTGCAAAAGTCAGTGGAAAGGCCCTTGCTGCTCCCTAAATTACACTTGGGATGGTGATGTATCCTATCACCTTTGTAAAAACAAAGGCATGTCTCTCATCTTCCGTCCCTTAGATTCCCTAGAAGGACATCTCCTGCTTTGTAGGAAGCCAGGGAAGCAGACAGGCCCCTCTGACCTCCCACTTCCAGCCCAGCTGTATGGCTAGTGGCTCAAGAAAGCCTTATTCCAGGGCCAGGTGGTAACACAATAGTAACACAACTGGACCTGTGTAAGAATGGTCCTAGGTTCACATCCAGGAACCTCCCTGAGCATGCAGGGGGTGTGTACCTGAGAGCCAGGCCAGCTAAGACTGGGAGTAGATCACAGCGTGAGTACTCCATTGGAGTGCCTGGTGTGTGTGTGTGTGTGTATGTATATGTATGTATATGTATGTATATGTATGTATGTCTCTTTCTGTCTTTCCAAAGAAGTCAACTTTGTTTTTAATCATTTTTGGGGGGGAGAGGTTTTTGCTATAAGGCCTGTGTGCTTGCCAGAAAGAGACAGAGAGACAGAAAGCAAGAACTCACGCCCCCAGGGGGGATAGTCATGCCGCAATCCCTTCTCCTCCATTCTTCTCTCAGGATCTTGGCACGCGCACACACCTGCCCGGTGTGAGTTTAAGCCACTGGGTCCAGGACTCAAATCACAGTCAGCCGCATAGGAGTCCAGTGACATAGCCATTATACCAACTGCTGGTCCTGAAATCAACTTTTTAAAAAGTCCTGTTCTCACAAGCCCCAGACCAGTCCACCAGAAAAGGCACTTGCCCTAGACACCTCCACCAACCACCTAGCCATCAGTCAGATTCAGAGTCCCGTCACTGCCCCCCCACCCCAAGCATTCAACCCCACAGGACACAGGATCTCCTCCACAAGGCCAGAATACAGACATTTCTGCCAGGCGCTGATCACCAAGATCTTTGGCAGAAGAACCCAAACAAGTGTCTAAGGAAATGATAGACAGCAAGCTTATTTACAATTTACCACAATGCAGAGAATGAGGCCTTGGCCCCACATTCAGTGGGCTGTTCGGGGCCAAAGTATCTTTATCCTCTTGATAGAGAACTTCATAATTCTTGATCCATAGCCAGTGTGGGCCAGGCTCCAGACGCATATGCTATGTGTCTGTCTGGAACTGCTTTCCCTCCCAAGAATCCCACAGCCACGTGAAAGCCGTCATGGGATGGGCCACTGCCAGCTCTGCTCTTTCTCTACTCTCACGAAGGCCTCTGTGGCAGACACGCATCCGCTGGCTCTGACAGGAAAGAGCAGGGCTCGGGGCAAAGGGACACTTCACCTGGCACACTGGGCTGGAAGACTTTATTCAGATCCAAGGAGGAGGCTCTGGAATGGGTTTTCTGTGGCCGCGGTGGCGGGGTGGGAGGGTCCTCGCCCCTTTTCATGGCCTCTTCTATGGAAGTGCTAGAGTAAGATCTGCAGCAAAACAAGGGCGGGTCAGCATTTTTAGAGCAAAGCTTTACTCTCCGAAGTTAGCTGGAAACAGAAAATACCCCCAAATTCAAAGTGTCGGCAAAGTACTGGGGCACCGAAGGAGCCAGGAATTCTCTTACCCCTGGGGTGCCACTATATGGAAACTGTCCAACCTCCACCAGGCATGCGGTCGTCCTGACCTCTTTTCTCTTATTATACTTTAGGCCTACATCTGCCCTCCCAAGAAAAGCTCTGTGTAAATTCAAATCAGTTTCTGCTGGAATTGTTAAGAAGCACAAGTAAACCCTTTGGCTTAGGTACTTCCATGCTTTACTAGCAGGACTTCTGGTGTGAACTGACTGCAGAACTTTTCTCCCATTTACTTACAAATGTGATGACAGACACAGAATTGGGACGGGGAAGCTAAGGGTAAGAATCAAATGTTCGAGGGAATATGATACAAATGAAATTCAGGACAGGAAAACAGGTTGAGGGTTCCAGCTTATCTTGCCCTAAGAAATACAGGTTCTTGGAAATTTTCACAGCAAAAGTCTCCTTTTAACCTTCTTCTTCAACCTGTAGCAAGGCATGGCTAACTAGGCAACTTCAAAGACTGTAATACCAATAATGAACATTTTTTTAAAAAGAGTTCAGCTTGACAAAGGTCATATACCTAGAAAGTTACATAGGTCCAGTCCAAACTCCAGTCTCTCCCTGATTCTAAATTCCCTTTCTAATATGTTCTCACACTGCCTATGAGCCAGGGAAGAAATCCTTTGGTGATACCACGTAAGATATTTATTAGAGACCTACTTATTTTTCAATTCTGCACATTGGTCTATTGCTTAGAAATGGGTTTAAAGATGTGTTCCCAGGCCAGTCAGGTGGTTAAGGCAACTGGATCCCACATGGCCAACTGTATGGTTCAAGTCCCAGTCCTGGTGGCTTGAAAAACATGCTAGCATGTATGCATGCACACCCACAGTCCCTAGAGCAGGGTGGAGGAGAAGGGATTGTGGCATGGCCATCCCTCTGTAGGGTGCTTTTCACTTTCTCTCTCTTGTGTCTCTCTCTTTCTCTGTCTCTCTCTGGGGAGCACTTATGCCCTATAGCAAATTAAAACAAAAACAAAAACAAAAAGATGACCATGAAAAGGATCTATAAAATGGGTGTGGACAGCTGTTCTATCCGGCTCCTTCACTAAGTTCATGTCAAAACAGATGACCTTTGAGTGCAGAGATACATGTATGCATGCACACCCACAGTCCCTAGAGCAGGGTGGAGGAGAAGGGATTGTGGCATGGCCATCCCTCTGTAGGGTGCTTTTCACTTTCTCTCTCTTGTGTCTCTCTCTTTCTCTGTCTCTCTCTGGGGAGCACTTATGCCCTATAGCAAATTAAAACAAAAACAAAAACAAAAAGATGACCATGAAAAGGATCTATAAAATGGGTGTGGACAGCTGTTCTATCCGGCTCCTTCACTAAGTTCATGTCAAAACAGATGACCTTTGAGTGCAGAGATATGTGCTGGAGAAAAATGATGCTTGGAAAACTGTTCTTCATATTTAGCTCTTAGAATAACTCCTAGGAAATTGGAATCTATCAGTTACTATTAGGTTCCTTTGGTTCTTGGCAAAACTGTTCTTGACAGGGCGAGTTTTATTTTCCTGAATAAATTTTTCAAAGTTCTTTTATGGTAGTTGAGGGTTTTGTCCATCTTGCAAGAGTGTGGTCTTTAATGAAGCCACCATAATGGCATGTGGCATACTCTCGGGTGGTCCCTGTATTGCCACTGGCAAGACGGGCAAGGCAAAGGCAGGCCAGAACTAGCAGGGAAGACTGCTCAAACACTCTCAGCAACAATCAAAAGGGATTAATATGAAGGACAGCGACTTTTTAAAATGAGAACTCTTGACTGGAAAAGGAAATCAGAGCCCCTAGATAGAAAGTGAAAGAGCTTTCGATGCCACAAACAGCTTTGGTGACACTTTCACTCAAGAAAGAAAGAATAGCACATGTGTATAAATCATGTGTGTGTGCATGCAGGTGTGCATGCATGCACACGCAAAGACAGTTTAAGCACACTGTCACATACAGGTGAGTGAGCATTCCTGATTTGAAAATCCAAAATCTGAAATGCTCCAAACTCTGAAACTTTCTGAGTATCATCATGACGCCACAAGTGGAAAGCTCCACACCTCATGTGATGGGTCACAGTCAAAATGCTGCAACACAAAAATATTGTAACAGATTACCTTCAGGCTGTTTATAAAGCATATATGAAACATAGATGAATTTCATGCTTACACTTGGGTCTCATCCTAAGTCTATGCAAGCATGTTATATGCATGCAAATAATCCCAAATCTGAAACACTCCGGTTCCAAGCATTTCAGATAAGGGATATTCAGCCTGTACTCCCACATCCCAAAGCTAATACAGATTAATGTGTAGATCCATTCATCCTTCAAAGGCAAAACAAAAAAAAAAAGGAGGGGCAAGGGTATGACCAAATGTGACCATAGAAAGAATGACTACATCTTTTCTTCTTACCAAACTGAATTACTCTATTTATTGTTTTTAAAAATATGAATATAGATATCAGTACCTACTATAAATAAGGAAGCAAAATCCCAATTTGTAAAATGCAGATGCAAATGATAAACTAAAGGAGCAACTCTTTGATTTACAAAGAGATATAATTTCCTTTAATGTCAGTATTTGAAATATATAAAACATGGTCAGATGGTATAATGGTTATATCGCTGGACTCCCATGTAGTCGGATCACAGTTTGAGTCTCAGACCCAGCAGCTCGAAACTCACACCAGGCACGTGTGTGTATGTGTGTGTGCTCAAATCCCAGAAGGAGAATGGAGGAAAAGGGATTGTGGCATGGCCATCTCCCTGGGGGACGATTTCTTGCTTTCAGTCTCTCTGTCTCTCTCTGAGTAAAAATCTCCCTTTCTAAAAAGAAAAAAAAAAAAAAGACATTGTCAGACTTAAATTCACTTTTTCAGGAATGCGTCTAGTAACCAAAGGAGGGAAAAAGTCACTAAGAGCCCAAGTGAAACTTCGCAAACACACGCACAGTATTCTATCTTACATGCAGCTTTACTGGCGAAATGCAGTCCCAGTACTGTTCCCCTCCCAGGGGCACTCATTCATTCTGTGTGTTTCTGTAGTCATCTTCCACTCCACTGAGGCTGCTTTCAACCACAGCTCTGCCTTACTGGCTGTCCCTCCTCTACAAGCCTCTTAACGATTTAAAAAATTTGAACCCTTGAGTAAGGAGCTAAAATAGGCGATAAAACAAACACACAAATGAAAAAACAAGCAGTGCTTATGCTGACCTGAAGCTTCAAGCTTCACTGCAATCGTCATAAGCATTTTCTTAGTTACCTTTTAAACACTTTCCCCACTTTGCAGAGCTACTTCCCCTCTCCATTATCATCCTGTCTGCCACAAGTGGGTCATGCCAGAGCCACATCATGGCAGGGGACTGTCTCCTAGCACTAAAGACTACAGAGGCTGAGAGTCTCCCCAGCCTCACTGTGTCTCCTGCCAGGCTGCTTCCAGCGAGTAGAATAGTCCTTACCCTAAGCATCATGTCTAAAGAAAAGCAGATTATGAACTGGGTTTTAGGATTGTGGGTTTTATTTCTGGGCAGCGACAGGACACAAAAGGCATCAAAGCAGAAATTAAACGAACACTACCTGGATCTTGGTCTTGCTTTGAGACTGTTGGAATCCTTAGGAGTTGCTGAAACAAAGATTAATTGTTGTTTGCTTGGGTCATTTCTTCAGTTAAACAGGTTTATATGCACACGAGGGCTGGTACAGAACACATCAGCAGGTAAAGGTGAGATACAAATGCCCGTGGGGAGCACCTGGCGGCTCCCACATTTTCATGATTTCCTACGTTTATTTCTAAAGCTAAAAGAAAAGAAACACCAACAAATTTTCTCTTTTGTCAGAACACTAGCTGAGAAGCCATTCTCAAATCCAAGTTGGTTAATGAAGACATTCCAGTCTAAAAAGCCAACTCTTTGAGGGAGTGCTCTTTCTATATAATGATGGATTCACACTTGAGGGTCCCTTGGTCTGTCATAATAACCTAGTAATTATTGCTTTTGAACCAGTCTCTTTTGAAGGCTAAGAGGAAATCTATCTGGCTACCAGAGCAGCACAGAGATAAGAAAGCAAAGACCCCATAAATTGGAACGAGGCATGCAGTTGCTCCTGCAGGAAAGCATTCTTGTGCCCCACATCCCTGTGAGCAAATGATACAGGAAGTATTATGAAATGAAATCACTGAAGTATTCTGTCAACCATGTTATTTTTCCTCATCAAATTTAAATCATAAACTAACTTGACTACTACCAACAACCATGGAGCCTACTTTGCCATCACAACTTATGAGGAGTAATTAGAAACATTTCTGAAAACACTAATCATATTTTTATGTTTTCAATTCCCTGGGGAAGACAACTTTAGAAACCAGTAGCTATGCTAAGGTTTTGCAAACATTGCACAATTTTCATCATCAAATGTCATAAAAATTCATAGAAAACGCGCTCCTAACAAGGAACAAGAAGAATATAATTTGTTTATTTGTTTTCACAAATTCTTCCAAAAAGAAAATATCTCACTCATTATCCCATCCACTTTTACATTACTCCAAAGATAAAAGCAATTCTTGGTGTGAAGCAGCCTGAATTGATGATGATCATTAAAATCTCGGGATTAGAGAAGCAGGGCAGAAAGGGGGGCTGAAAATCCTCATAAATGCTAACAAGGCACAAAGCAAAATGGCCAACATAGATTCCACTCAGATGTAGTCCACTGCAGAAAAGAGGCATTTCTCCCCCCACCACCCAAGTATTTCAGCTCACTACAGTGAGAACATGGGCATCTTCCCGCTTCAAACACCTGATGCACTGCCATAGCTGAAAAGCGTGCAGAGTCCAAGGGCTCTGGGTCTCTTCATGCCCATTATCAAGCACCCACACTTGGATATGGATGGAAAATTCCTCTCTCCCTCCTACGAACCCCAGGCAGTAGACAGGAGGGCTGAGGGGAGCCTCTCCCAGCCAAGAGGGCTGCCTTGAGACTGGGTGGACAGAGTATGAGCAGACTCACCTCCAGCAGAGCAGCCTTCTAAGCGGCCTGCCTGCAGCTTGTCCCACGTCCCTCTCCTTCCCCGGCCCCACTGCACTAAAGAAATATAGGTGGGTAGCAGAAGTCCTGGCCACGTTAAATACTGCTCGCCAAACCAAAACACAGTGACCGTTAGCTCCTTGGACAATTGCCATTATCTTTGTCTTTTTGCTAGGGTGGGAATGGGTGTGGAAGGAGGAGTAAGCCCTGCTAGTGAGAGATAGGCAGGCAGGCAGGCAGACAGACAGATGGGGTGAGGCTGTGGGTGAGTAGTGGAGAGAGAAGACCAGAGAGCAGGCCAGGAGTCCTGAGGCCGAGGCATTCTTCCCTAAACCTCAGGTTACTCACCTACAGAAGGAAGACAATAAAGACACAGTCCCTTTTTCACAGGGACAGATTAAGAAGGTGAAGGTACTCTGAAAACTGAATGTATTTTAGAATTGCAAAATATTACTGTTATAGGGTACAGAAATAAAGTCTCTCCATTTTTCAAGCTTGGAAATCTGGTTTCTAAATTAGTTCCATCTAGGACAGCAAAGAAGGTACAGGTGGAAGTAGGTAGAGGCAGTGAGAAGTGCTCTACCCAGCAAGACCATGGGGTGACAACTGTCTGAGGACTCGACTGTGAGAAAGAACAGGCCTAAGACACCTCAGCATGAGACCAGCAGTTGGAATAATAGCTATGTCACTGGACTCCCATGCAGTTAACCATGGTTCGAGTCCCGGACCCAGTGGCTTAAACTCACGCTGGGTGCGTGTGCATGCGTGCCCAAGATCCCGAGAAGAGAAGGGAGGTGAAGGGATTGCAGTGTGGCCATTGCCCCTGGGAGGTGATTTCTCACTTTCTGTCTCTTTCTGTCTTTCTGGCAAGTGCACGCACCTATAGCAAAAACCTCTCAAAAAAAAAAAAAAAATCTCAGCATGACTCAGACACATCAAGAAAAAGATCCCCATTGTGCAGTACACTCTGCTGATGCTGGCTGGAATGGGACACTGGTTAAAATCTCTCTTAGACTCCAGAAACACATGGGAACTTCAAAAAGTACGTGGAAAAATTAAAGTTAAAAACTTATTTTGGTGCTAAAAACCTTTAATTCAAGCATAATATGTACTTTTCATTATCTTTTTGAAGTTCCCTCATATAGATTATCAGCAATGAAAAGGGTAAATTGCAGGCTGGCCCCATATCCTAGTAGTTAAGGAACTGAATCCCACGTGGCCAGCCCTGGTGGCTTGAAAAATACATGAGGTATAAGTGTGTGCATGCCCAAAGTTATGACAGGATGTAAAGTTGAGGAGAAGGGATTACAACGTGACCATGCCCCACGATGGAGGGTGCTTTCTTCTTCTCCCTCTCTCTGTCTCTTTCTGGTGAGTCCATGCACCCTCTGTAAATTTTTTAAAAAGACTAAGGGCACATGGAAAATTCTTTCACAAGGAATGCTCCCATTCCATGAGAATATCATGCCATCCCATCTATGACCCACATCATTCTCTTCATCGTCATTATTACTACCACCTGTGGAAGAACACGGCCTGGAGATGCTTCTCCTTCCACCTGCAAAAATATATCCCAGATAGCTCTTGGGAAGTTTCCAAGGTTTTGGATTAGAAAAGGCTGGACGACACTATTCTAGCTAACTCTTCATCAGCCTCCAAGCCCCAGAAGGTCCGACTCAGCTTTTGATGCATTCAAACATGGCAAGGGCACGTTGCACTGTGAGTTCAGGCAGAAGCCAATGAACAGATCACAGCTTCTCATTTAGCTGAAAAGAGGGAAGAAAAATGTCAGTTTCCTAGAACAGCCATTCATCTTTCCAGGAAACGGAAACAGGAAGAGAGAGCAAGCCTGAATATTAACCCTTCAGAGGCAGCAACATAACTGAGATGAACTGTCCATATGGCATGGAAAGCCATCTAGATATAACCCCCACCCATGAAACTCTAGTGTCTCCCACTTGGAATCTAAACATTCCCCAGGAAGGGGGGTATTAACTATGTTTGACATGAGAGATTCCCTCCTATCTAGAAAGGGGCAGAAGTAGGAACAATGAATCAGAAAACACATAGCGTGCTCCAGGCACAATGTGAAAAAAAATCAGGTATACTTCACACACAGCGGCACGCCTGTTAGGTTTTGTTTGGTGATGCTATGTCCTATTCAGTGAAAGAGTTTTTTAATCTAAAGCTCATGCCCCAGGGAACACTTGATCTCCTGCTAAAATCCCTGAAAAAAATTAGGGAGAGTTATGATCCTCAAAGGCTATTGAAGCAGCAGCAATTTTGTTAAATAGCTTTACTAATACCATGACATGAGGTTTATAAAAACTGAGATGCATCCATATTAACTCCAGAAATTAAAGCAGAAAAGAACTGACCTCAGGCGTGTAACCTACAAGAGTAGAGCACTTTTTCCTGTGATGAATGAATTCAAATCAGTTTCACAAGCCAAAATTTGGTTTGGGAATTTCCACCACTTTTAGAGTCATGATGGATCTACAATCTTAATTTTCTATTTCATAGCATCACCTTCTTTTTAAAATTATTTATTTCAGAGAGATTTTTGCTATAGAGTGTATGCACTTGCCAGAGAGACAGAAAGCAAGCACTCACCCCCCTGGGGAAATGGCCATGCCACAAATCCCTTCTCCTCCATTCTCCTCTTGGGATTCTGGGCATGTACACACACACACCCAGCATGAGTTTTAAGTCACTGGGTCCGGAACTCGAACCATGATTGACTATGTGGGAGTCCAGTGACATAACCATTATTCCATCTGCTGGTCCCCGTGGCATCACCTTCTGTTAGTAGTGTTTCCAGGAAAAGGCTGCACACCAGAATCAGCTGAGGAGTTGTCTAAATATACAGATTCTCAGGCCTCCGTCACTGAAATCATTTGTAATTCTCATTCATATTCTCTATCTATCCCTCTCCCTCCCTCACTCCCTCTCCCAAATCCTTCCTCTCCCTCCACTATTCTCCCTTTCAAACCTTGAATGAACTTGGTCTTTGGGAAATATTATAACCCCCCTGGGGAAATGGCCATGCCACAAATCCCTTCTCCTCCATTCTCCTCTTGGGATTCTGGGCATGTACACACACACACCCAGCATGAGTTTTAAGTCACTGGGTCCGGAACTCGAACCATGATTGACTATGTGGGAGTCCAGTGACATAACCATTATTCCATCTGCTGGTCCCCGTGGCATCACCTTCTGTTAGTAGTGTTTCCAGGAAAAGGCTGCACACCAGAATCAGCTGAGGAGTTGTCTAAATATACAGATTCTCAGGCCTCCGTCACTGAAATCATTTGTAATTCTCATTCATATTCTCTATCTATCCCTCTCCCTCCCTCACTCCCTCTCCCAAATCCTTCCTCTCCCTCCACTATTCTCCCTTTCAAACCTTGAATGAACTTGGTCTTTGGGAAATATTATACTATAGCATAAGCCTCAATGTTATATTGATTCTTCTGTTCCAACTTTAAACAAATAAGCGCAGGATGATGGCTAGTTAATCACAACAAACTTGATCTACTTATTAAATATGCGAGACAGAAGTAGGAAAAGAGAACAGTTACTTTTTCCACGTTCCCATAACCAGAGCCCAAATAGTAATGCCTCCCGTATTCGCTCCGTTTGCAACTAGGCTCATCTTGTTTTAATGATAGCTCCATCATGAGAGAGCTGAGGACACAGGCCCAGCCACGCTCCACAATTCCAGACACCGTTCTGACTCTTCAGGTAAACTGGAGAAACACAACTTTGATTTTTCTCCTTGGAATCCACTCCATATATAAGCATATATACTTGCCTTCCTGGTGGTGAAATATAATGAAAAGATTGGAGATTCTTCCTTTCAAAATGGAAAATAGCACCTCTGGGCCTCTAGTTGATCCACCCTGTCAGTCCCTTACCTACACAGAAACCACAATGGCTTATCATCCCAACTCCAAACCTTCTCAAGTTTATGCTTGGTAAGAGACCCTAAATTCAAACTGAGTGATCTTTTCAGCAAAACCTAAATCCAGAACTTTAAAAAGAAATCACTCTCTTCTCAAACTTGAAAAGAGGGAAAGGGTAAAAACCCAAAAAGTTTTCTTATAATAATACACGAGACAAATATTTACAGAAAAACAGACACAGTATCACAGAGGTAGCAATCTTCTACTCACTGACACTGTTGGGGTTTTTTATTAGAAATAATTATGTAGAAAGTATATTAAAATGGCTTTCTCCTACCTGGATCCTCAGACACGTCCTTTGGCAAGGCTTCATTGATAGTACTTTTCAAAGCTGTTGGTGGTTTTTTTTTTTTGTTTTTTTTTTTTTGTTTTTTTTTAAGGAACAAGAAAGAAAGGAGGAGAAAAGAAAAAAAAAGCCTATAAAATTTTATTTCTGGGGCCCATGACATTAAAACAAAGAATGCTTAGTCATCGCTTGCAAAACCAGGTCTTACGAACCTCTAGAAGTTGCTATAGCATTTACTAAAACAATAAGCCCTCCTAGGATACAGAAATATCAATAGATTCTCCTCCTACAAAGAGCAACTTTCCAGACAGAGTGCCTCTAGTGGTTAGGAGGAATATTACCAGGAAGTATCGGAAACTCCCCACACTTTGACTCCTGACATTCATACCAATGACTTGAGACTCTTTGGGAATGAAACCCAGGCTTCCATATTTTTAGAGCTCTCTCCAGTTACTCCACTGTGCAGTCAAGCTAAGGTCTACCAGTTAGGAGAGTAATCAAAGCACATGCTACTCCAGGCAACGCCCAGTTCCACCTGTCTCTCCTGAGCAGGTGCAGTCCTGCATCGTGATGTTTCCATCAACGAATATACAACTGTAGTCCTATAAGATTCTAACAGAGTTGAAAAATTCTCATTGCCTGGTGATGTCATAGTGATGTCATAATATCCTAGCACAACACATTACTCACATGTTTGTGGCGATGGTACCTTAAACAAGCCTACTGCACTACCAGTCATGTAATAATATAGCACATATGATAATGTATACACTAGAAAAATACTTGACAATACTATATAATACTTGATAATGATAATAACCCACTATGTTATTGGTTTATGTATTCACTAAACTATAGTTTTTATCATTATTTTAGCATGTACTCCTGCTTATATAGAAAAAGTTGACTTTAAAGTGGTATGCCGTGTTACACCAGCGGCAGCCTCATACACCTCATATTTGCTGTCTCTCTTGACTGCATCATTTCCTTTTGTTCTGTTTTGTTCATCATGGCCCTCCCAGTGGGACAAGATGTGGTGGAGGAAGACAGTGATGTTGATGATCCTGACACTGTGTAGGTCCAGGCAAGTACATATACTTGTGTCTTCACTTTTTTAATTCAGAAAAATATTGTTTATAAATGTTTTGTAGCCTAAGTGTACAGTGTTTAAAAAGGCTGCAGTAGGGTACAGGGATGTCCTAGGCTTTCACCTTCACTCACCACTCACTCACGAACTCACCCAGAGGAACTTCCAGCCCTGCAAGCCCCATTCACAGTAAATGCCCTACACAGGTGTACTACTTTTTACCTTTTATATCACAGTTTTACTGCAGCTGTTCTATGTCTAGATATGTTTATATACACAAGTACTTACCACTGTGTTGCAGGTGCCTCTATAGGCTGTACTGAGTACAGCAACATGCTGTACAGGTTTGAAGCCTAGGAACAATCGACTAATACTGTATAGCCTAGATGTGCAGCAGGCTAGAGCATCTAGTTTTGTGTAAGTACATTCTGTGAAACTCACATATGACAAAATCACCTAATGATCCATTTCTCAGAACAATCTCTATCATGAAACAACACATGACTGTGTTTAAATAGAAAGTGTGCAATTACTGTTTCTTAACAACAACAACAAAAACTTCTTTTTTTAATGTTTAACCCCCATACAAAGCTGAATCAATGGTAGGTCTCAACAATAAAACTTGAAATAGCTTCACTGATTTTTTTTAAAAACATATTTTATTTTCTTTTAATTTCTTTTATATATTCAATCACTATACATCAGTTAGCTTGTAAAGTGAATTTTCAAACATGAATAAACCAGTCCAGTTGGGGACACTATATATGTTATCATCAACAGATAATAATCCATTTCTATGTCCCATAAATGTCTTGCCTCTCTATTTTTCTCCTTGATGTCTTTCCTCACACTCCCCTCCTTCTCCCACCCTTTTCTCACACTGTAACCGGTATCTATAACCATTTTCCATGTTTCTATAGCCTGTAATTTTTCACTGATTTGTAGTCCCTTCAGATAAGCCTCTCATTCATAGGTAGTGAATCATACTAGACAACAGATGGAATACTAGCTTGAAACTTAGCAAATCTTGGTTTTTGTCCCAGCTCTTCTTCTTACTAAGCAAATGGTTTGTACCGCCTGGATTTCAGTTTATTCGTCTCTAAATTTTAGGTGATAAGACATGCCAGCCTCCATTCAGTTTTGTGAGGACTGAGTAACACAGTGTATAACGAAGAACCTGGTGGATTATAAAGAGAGGTGGGTAAGGAAATAGAGGGTAGAATGTCATTAAGGAGGAAAACCCATTTTTTTCATACCTTGTTTGTCATCACCAGTCACATCTTGTGTAGGGACGGGAAAATCAGTCATGTCTTTAACAGATGTCTTCTTGGAAAAGAAATGTAAATGAATTATATAGTTTGGATTGGAAATTAAGTGATGTGCACATACAATGAAAATGTTCTAAAAGCAACATTCTCTTGCCAACATTTTTGTCTTCTACAAATCCTGACATTTAATACTTTTCGTAGGTTCCTAGTGAGGTATAAGTTAATTTGTGTTGACATTTTTACATACACAGAGGAAAAAATTAATGATTCAGATCAAGGTCTATGTATAGGCCATATATTAAATCTGAATCCAGACTGGGAGTTGGTCACACAATTGCATAGCATTTACTCATTCACCAAGAACAAACCTGCCCTTTATGTACTTTTTCACAAATAGGGAAGATTTCTGACAAAAGGTCCCATAATGTGACCATTTGCAAGGATCTGTCATGCAGAGGGTATCCAACCCTGAGTAAAATAGGCTCTTTGTCATGGAATAAGAGGATTGTGTTGAGCAGATCAAAATTTTCTCCTACCTCATCTATAGGGGAAATCTTCCTTATACTTATCAATCAAGCATGAGTTTGTTTAAAATTGCTTAAAATCTATTTACTAAAAAAATTATTTATTATGAAGTCTTAGTTAACACATACTTTAACTACAGTTATAATAATAATGCATAGTATACTTAAAAATTGCTAAGAGATTAGTACTTACATGTTTCACCACCAAAAAATGAACAAAAAAACTATGTGAGGTGACTGCTATGTTACTTAGCTTGACAATAATCATCTCACAATATATATCTATCAAACACTGTAAATATATCCAATCCCATTTGTCAATTACACCTCAATAAAGTTGGAAAAAATACGTACTCTAAGGCCTATGATAAGATTAAACTAAAGAATAATCTATATTCATATTTGCTTTATTTATGTATGCAAACTCTGGAAAGATATAAGAATTGAAGGGTGATTTGGTAGATGGGGGTAAAGGACAGGAGAAAAATCTGTCACCATATGCCTTTTACGTGCTTTGTATTTTAAACATATTCACAAATCAAATAAAGACAAGTGTAAGAACTTATCAGAAGGACAGTAAATTCCTAAAACTGCCTGGTACTCCAAAAATGTTAATTGGTTTAGCTCTCAGAACCCAAAGGACCTCAGACAGGTAATAAATACTCCTGTTTTTAAGCTGATCTGAAGAGTAAGGTCACACAGTACTATCTGCTGGTTACCTGATCTAGGCTTTAACAATCCTCAGTTAGGTCATCCTCAGCATTACAATGAAGCGTCAGGACGCAATTTCCAATTCAAAGTCTACTATCTCTGCTAGACTAGAAAATATACCTTAACAACGCATTTCTTTTCTACTGTCCTCTTTCACCTGGGTTATATATTGTGCCCCTTTGGAGAAGAAAATTATTTAGGTGTAGATGAAGTAAATTTTTAAAAATCCAAAACAAATTCATTGAAAATAAATTAAAAATCTAAATAAATGGAAAGATATCCCACATTCATGCATCAGAAGACTTAATATTATTTTTTTGGGGGGGGAGAGGTTTTTGCTATAGGGCATGCGCGCTTCCCAGAAAGACAGAGAGAAACAGAGAGATAGAAAACGAGAAATCACCCCCCCAGTGGGGATGGCCACGCCGCAATCCCTTCTCCCCCTTTCTCCTTGGGCATGCATGCACACGCACCTGGCATGAGTTTTAAGTCAACCAGTCCGGGACTCGAACTGCGGTCGACTACATGGGAGCCCAGCAACATAGCCATTATGCTAACTGCTGGTCCCAAGACTTAATATTATTAAGACAGTAATACTCTCCAAACTGATCTACAGCTTCAAAACAAACCTCAATATTTTGTTGCAAACTTTAACAAGCTTATCTTAAATTTCATATGGAATTGCAAGAGAGCCAGAATAGCCAAAATATTTTTTTAAAGGACAACGAAGAAAGAACTCACACTTTGAATTAAAACCTTAGCACAAAGTTATAGTAACCAAGTCAGTGTGGTACTGGCACAATTGTAAGATCAATGGAGAAATGAGAATCCAGAAATCAATCTTACATTTATGGTCAACTCATTTTCAACAAGGGTGAAAGACCATTCTATGAAGGGAGAAAAACTGTCCTTTCAACAAACGATTCTCAGACAATTAGATGTCCACATAAAAAGGAATTAAATTGGGCCACTTCCTCAGAGCATACACAAAAATCAGCACTAAATGGACCGTATATCTAAATATAAGACCTAAAATTATGAAGCACTTGGAGAAAAATAGATGCTCTTGAAAATAGATGATCTTCATGATCTTGTATTAGGCAATGGCTTCACAGATATGGCACCAAAAGCACAAGAACATTATAATTCAATAATAGACCACCCAAATTAAACATGGACAAAAGATTTGAAGAGACATTTCATGAAAGAAGACACACAAGCAGATAATAATAAGCAGATAAAAGATGTTAAACATCATGTCATTAGGAAATTCAAATCAAAATCACAATGAGATACTGCTTTATTTCACCAGAATGACTAAAATAATAGAGACAGGCAATAACAAGTGTTAACAAGGATGTGGGTACATTGGAACACTCATACACTGCTGCAGGGGAATATAAAATGGTGCAGCTGCTTTGGAAAGAAGCCTGGTGGTTCCTCAAAGTTAAACCCAGAGTTATGATAGAACACAACAATTCCACTCCTAGGTATATATGCACGAGAACTAAAACATATGCCTACACAAAAACTTGTACATACATGTTCATAACAATATTATTTATAAAAAACAAAAGTGGAAGCAGTCCAAATGCCCACCAATTTATGAATGAACAATCAAAATGTGACCTATCCACAGAATGGAATACTATTAAACAATAAAAGAGAACGTAGCACAAATTATGCTATGACATGAGTGAGCCTTAAAAACATTATATTCAGGGCCACAAGTGGTGTGGTGTTTAAGGCACTGGACTCCTACATGGCTGACTGCGGTCCAAGTCCCTGGCAGCTTGAAAGTCACGCCAGTCACATGTGTGTGAGTGCCTAAAATCCCAGGAGGAGAATGGAGGAGAGGCACTGTAGCCTTCCCCCGTAGAGGGTGATTTCTCATTCTCCTTCTCACTTTCTCTGTCTCTTTCTGGCAATCGCACATACCCTATGGCAAAAAAAAAAAAAATTATATTAGGTGGGGCCAGCTCTGTGGGCTGGTAATTAGGGGAGCTGGATTCCACACGGCCAACCACCCAGGCCTAGAGGCTTGCTTGCCCAAAATCCTGAGAGGAGGGAGAGATGGAGGAAAAGAGATAGCCATGTGACCATTCCCTATGGGGGATGGAGCACTTTCTCCTCTCCCTCTCTCTCTGTCTCTCTGTCTCTCTCTGGCATGTGCACATGCCCTCTAACAACAACAACAACAACAAATTATCCTAAGCAAAAGAAGTCAGTCAGTCACAAAATAACCACAAACTATATGACTCTGTTTAAATGAAATGTCCAGGACAGGCAGATGCATAGACAGAAAACAGATCAGTGATTATAAGAGGCTGGCGCAGAGGACTAGGGAATGACTGCTAATGAGTTTGTCTTTAGAGTGATGAAAATGTGCTAAAATTGGACTGCAAATGAGGGTTGAATGACTCTGCTAATAGACTAAAAGCCAATCACTTGTATACTTTAAATGGGTATAATACATGAATTATATCTCACAACTTTAGATGTTTTTCTTTTAAAAAGAAAAGAAACCCAGTAATCCAAGAAACATGCTGAAGAAGCGTATATCTGAAACTATACTTTGCAAGCAAACGTTGAATGAAAAACGTGCATGGGTACAGCTCTGCTGTCTTTAGAAAAACTTGTACAGCAAGTAACCTTCTCAGTGCCTGAGACCTAAATCAGCTAGAGCTTCATTCCCAGCACACACACTTATACTGAAGTCCTCCTCACAGAGCTGGTACCAAAGTCTACTCACACTTCACAACAGATTAAGAGACTGGGAGACAGAACAGTGAGGAAAAGCTTAAAAGAATATGAAATATTTAATGATCAGCTATTAAAATCCATCTTATACTTCTTGAATGGCCCAACCATCAATTAACCTTACTATTTTGCCCTTGAATTCTGTTTACCCCATTTCTTATCTAAATAAAACACCTCACCTTCGAAAATAACAATTTGGTTGGAAATGGTTTTTTTTTTGTTGATGTTCTGTTTTCTTGTTTGGCCAGGAGAAAAGAAAACAACTATGTAGCTTTTAACTCTCCCTCCCTAAGAGGCCAGTTAAAGTAGACAGAAGTTTAGCTGCAGGGAATGTCCATAAAGGTGGCTATGTATACTGTCATCAAGGACATCAGGGGGTGGGAGAGGGGGGAACAGACTTATGACCATGACTGTATATTTGCTTTTTCTCTCCTTTCACACAGATGCTAAATGACTACACAGGAAAACAACATGAATCAGCGACATTATTTCTGCAAAAAAAAAAAAAAAAAGATAAAATCAGTACTATCTCTCTCTGGAAGGGAAAAGATCACCTAGGGCATGTTGCAACAATATGTTTGTGTAGAACGAATAAGAATTTACTATTTTTTTGTTTAAAGAAAATCACCTAACCTCATAATTTACACAGCAGAGGGGGCTATTCCCCTCCAAAAATAAAAATGGGACAATGGTGTCAAAGAGCTAGAGAGGCACCCATTCTGGCTTGGCAGACAAACCTCTCCACACACTGCTAGAATCCCAAAGCAGACTGAAAGTCCTAAGGGTCATAAAAGCTGGCTCTGTAGTTTTGTGGTTAGGAAAGCCAGATACCACTCAGCTGACCACAGTTCAAATCCCAGCCTTCATAGTCTGAAAGACATGCCAGGAGCATGTGCATGTGTGCCCAAAATGCTGGCAGGATGGAGAACTAGAAGAGATTGTCACATGTTCACACCCCACTAGGGATGTTCTCTCCCTCCCTCTCTCCCTCCCTCTCTCTCTCTCTCTCTCTCTCTCCTCTCTCTCTCTCTCTCTCTCTCTCTCTCTCTCTCTCTGTCTTTCTCTGTTGAGTGTATAGGCCCTCTGACAAATTAAAAAAAAAAAAAAGAGGGTCACGAAAGGGAAAAACTACTGTACCTGCTTCATCACATGCATTCTGCAGAAAAGGAAATTCAAAAAGCAGTAATTCTTCACATATGCATCTGAAATGCCTTTCAGAATCACTTTTCATTATACACAGGGTCTTCAAAAAGTTTGTGGAAAATGTATTATTATTTTATAAAAACTATGCATAGATTTCCATTTTTCACAAAATAAAGTCATACTTCCATACTAGTTTTCCATGAACTTTTTGAAGTGCCAGCTTATCTTTTTTCCATGAGTGGAAACCTGCTGAAGACAGTGCCATGAAAGGCTACTCAAAGACAGTGGCAGTGTAGCAAAGAGAGATGTTCTTCAGGGAGGAGCTCAGGAGGGACATGCTGGGCTGGCTTTCAGGGGAGCAGAGCAGGTTGTCCATTACACACGTTCCAGCCATAAGCGCCCTGGGTCAGAGACTCACTGATCATACACAGTCATAAGACATGAAAGAAATGTCCCTGTATCCTGTATTTGACTTCTGTCATCTTGAAACAATTTCACCTAGGGTCAGAGAACTCTTACAAAGAGTATCTGTGAGTACACATTCATTAGAGGCTTTTAGGCATTTTTTAAGGAAGGGAACAGCAGGTAGCCTAAATTTTCATCACAATGATGATAATGATGATGATGATAGTGGTGATAATTATTTTAATGACTCCTGTTTATTGATCCATAACAAAGGATCACTTGGCTTCCATCAAGGGCCCAACAATGTGTGAATTCTCCGAGTTTCTTGTAGGAATCATTCAAATTAGGCCTCATTTGGCCCAAAAAGCTATTGATAAAAACCTTGAGGAAGCTTTGAATATGACTTGGGGCCTTCATATATAATTTTCAAACCTCTTTTCAAAACTGTTCTAGTTCATTATACCTTGTTAATGCCCAACTACTGAAAGTACAACTTAAATTGTTTACCAGAAAATTAAAGTTTGTTTAACGTGAATAACTTTGCTAGCATTTTCTGTCCCAGTTTAACTACAGCTGAATATTATCTCTACAAGGTCATGTGACTTGTGCTGCTTACTTCACCAAATCTAGTTTTAGGGAGAAAAGAAAAACAACTCATTATAGATACATCTAGTGTCTATTAGGTCACCTGGAAAGTCATGACATATTTTTGCATAGAAAAATACATCAGGACTTACCTGACAACCTAATAGATTGGAAAGGCTAAGCTTCAAAGTAACTACCAAGCACAAGGAGAAAATGTTATAAAAGTTCATTTTGCAGAGTTTGTAAAGAACGTAGGTTCAAGGATTTAATTCTACACACATTTTTATTTATTAACATATAGAGATCTTTTACCTCCATTCGATTCATGTCACGTGGTTGTTGGTTTGCTGGCATCGACTCGGGATAAGAATCAAATAAAGCACACTCCCACTTGGGCTTTGGAAAAGCTAAGAAGAAACCAAAGGAATACGTAAGAATGTTGACCAGAACCGTAGTGATCAATGTTTCCCATCAACTTTTTTGTGCTTGTTAAATAGCAAAACAAAATCAGCTAGCTCCTACATAATACTGCTGGTACTAATCACGGTGAGGTAGTATTTTAAGCTCTTTACATGTACCATCCAGGACTTTTATCCTCCCTACTTGACATGTGATAAACTGAGAAACAGGGAGCTTAAGCAACCTACTCAAAGTCAAATAGCCAGTAAATGGAAGACCAGGGATTTGAATTTCCAGCAGTCTAGCACAAGGGTCCATGCTCCTAGCACTTCATATTATAGCATAGCAGTCGTTTTCCACATTGATCATCACTATCACCATAGGTAATTTTTTTTACTATAGTACTAGCATGATTTTTAAAATAGGGGCTATTGGGACAGTTTGAATATTATTAACTTGGCTTTAAAAATCTCATGTCCACTATTGTTGGAAATAAGTAGGTAAGCTCTTACGGTGGTGCGTGTCTGAGATAACTTTAGAGAATTCCTCTTTGCTCGGCAGGAATAGCATAAATAAGAGTGTAAAATCTTGCTGATTTACAAGGAAACAGGAATCACATTATGAGTTCTTTAACATACAACAGTGACAGGAGCTGTTAGTTGGATGGCTGAGTGAATTAGCATGAGAAAAAAAAATCATCCTACTTGGTAGGCTAATTACCTAACACTCAAGCTATTTTCTTCAAAGCAGATTCTGCTCCACTACTTTGTCATAAAGTCATTAAAAAAGAATTATCTCAACAACTAAAAAAGCTGTCAATATTCCAAAAAAGAAAAACAGATTTGGGTAGATAGTAAACAGAATGTACAAATCAAATTTGTCAACACACGCTATTAGGAAATCAAATTTTAACACAATGTTTAAAAACAATATTTTGAATCCAATCCGAAAAATACATTGGCTTTTTTTTTATTTCCCTACCTCTTCTCATCCCCGTCAGTGATTAAAATGCCAGCATCCCTGGCCAGAATATCAGCCACCATGGGGAGTTTGTGGAATCACCTTAACTTATTCCTCAGCTTACTCTGATCTAAATTTCACTGATATCACATGCGGCAAACCGTGGACTCTGGTGAGTTTTCTGACCATACCTGGTGACCTACTTGCTTGGTAAAAACACAGCCAAACAGCTTTCAAAGCATCATTCCTCAGTCCAGCCCTGAGAGCAATTTTAACCAATGTAAGATTTCTCTTTCTAGTCTATAATCAGTGTTCTGACTAGGATTATATGACTAATGCCTTCTAACAAGGAGCTCTTGCTGTGTAAAAAGCTACAAATGTCTTCAATTAACTGCTAAATCTCTCTCCATTGTGTCTACACTGCTCCATCTCCATTGTGACCTCCCTAGTTTGACCCCCCCACTGCTCTGTCATTGCGCCTTAAAATCCGTTGTCTGGATGGCAACCAGCATGATCATTTCAAACAGCACATCTGATTGTCACTTCCCTGCTTAAAACGGGACAGTGCCAATGCCCATGCTTTGTTCTCCACCTTCCTCTTCAGCCCCATCCCCTCTTCTCATCCTTCTCTGTGCACTCTAGCCATTGTGGCCTGAAATTTCCATTTCTCCTGTGCTCCAAGCCCTCTTCCTCTCATCTCTCCAACACACCTGCTGTTTCCTCTTCCTAGAACACCCTCTTCCCAGAACCCGCACTTTCACTTTCTTCACCTCCAGAGCCTTAGCTGGTCCTTCACATCTCAGCTTGAACACTGAAGAGCATTTAAGGGACTCTTCCCTAAGGCCACACGCCCTCTTGCTGTACCTGCACTTCCTCCTTTCCTAGGGCTTATCACTGGCTCCAGTGGCATATCTGTGAGTCTATGTAAACGCCTATCCGCTAACTGTCCACAAGTCCCACAAGTTCCATGAGGGTAAGCATGCTGTTTTATATAGCATTCTGACCACAGAAAATAACACAGTGCCTCGCACATGTAGTAAGTACTCAATAAATATATTTTTTAACAACCTATATGGCAAAAATTTCAGGCACAATCCACCCAGTTACCTGGACATGAAAATAACAACAAAACGTTCACAGGTAAGCCACCAAACAATCCAATCTATCCTTCCAATTTACCCTTTAATTTGCACTGTTAGGAAAAATGGACTAAGCCATAGAATACAATTCTTGTTTCATTATTTTATTGAAAACAACCTTGAATAGTTTTGAAAGTAGATAGTATCAACCAAATTTATAGTCTTCACCAATCTTGTCAAAAGCTGGATTAGATTTTTTTTTTTTAAAGACTGGATACAGATAATCAGAAAAACGTTGGAACAAGATAAGAGCTAAACTTAAAAAAAAAAGTAAATGGAATACTACAAAAATGAACAAAAAATACATAAAAAGGACCATCCATATTTTGCAGAGTCTAAAGGCATAAAGAAGACCTAGATAGTTCTGGCAGTTTTCTTGATCTTCACACAAAAATAAAAATGGGTAATAAAGCATTTTTAAAAATTAACTTCTTTAAAGGAAAAATAAAAATTAACTGCTAAACCCTCAGGGTTTGCCTATACCATCACTGAGTTTGATGGGGTTTTACAAGGTCTCTCATGTTTCCTGTTAGAGCTATATAATTATTATTTAAGATTAATTCTACAAGACCTGGAAATGATGTGCAATTTTTAATTACAGGGTATGTGATGGGTTCTTCAGTTGTTTCTATACAGATGCATGCTGATGGTCTCTGTAAAAGACCCGGAAGAAACAAAGGCTTCATTCCAAGGGAAGAGAGATGCCTCTTGACTGGCACTCTTCCTTACAGACTCCTCTCTACCGAATAATCAAGTCAAAAGGAGCCATTTGCAGGAGTAAAAGAATCAAGAACTTATTCTTCAGCTGTTAACACAGGGCTTTCATATTTCTAAAAATTGTATCAGTGACTCTTGAACTGGTGCATGAAACATGCAGACATCTACAAAGTGACTTCATAAACAAGGAGACACAACTAGTGGCATAGGTTCTATGGCCAAATATCATCAGAAAAATAAAACACATTTGGTCAAGATTCCAAAACAGAAAACTAAATATCATGGGAAGACGAGGTTACCCAGGATTCTTCTCAGCAACACGCACATATGCAATGCCCTACATGTTTTTCAATCTGCCAGGTCCAGGACTCAGACCACATAGTCGGCTATGTGGGATGTAGCTGCCTTAACCACCATGTCACCAACTGGCCCAAGATCCAGCTTCTCTTGAACCACCATGCCATGGAGCTGGCCCAAGCACTCAGCTTTTTATGAGGCCTTCCCTAAAAAGTGAGAAAGATTATTGAAAGTACCAACTATTTCTGGACTCCTTTGATAGAAATTATACTTCTCTGAATAATGGAAACCAGACCAGTTCCCATTGCCTTTGAAAAACGTATGAAACATTAAAGATGTTCCCAATCTTCCAAAGGAAGTGATACTAATGTTAGACTCACCTCAACTGTCCTATTCAAAAGGTTTAACATAGTAGTTGGGAATGACTGTTTTATTAAGGAGAAAGACAGAAAGAGTTCTATTCCAACTGGTGTGCTAGAATGTTATATATCTTTATCTGACAGTAGTTACACAGGTGTACACAAATAGAAAAATTCATCACATATACATTTAAGATTAAAGCCCTCTGAATATTTTGCTGTTAAACTTTTAATTAGGTCTAAGAGTTCTACTCCATCCCATCCCCGAAAGCCACATGGAGACACTGGGACATGCCTAAAGATGCCAAATCAGCACATGACTCTACAAGATCTTCTTTGGGCTGAATGGTGGTGCAGCAGTAAAGTTCAGAGAGGTTGACTCACATGGGAAAGTTCCAGGTTTGTGTCCAGAGATCTCCAAGTACATGTGTGTCCATGATTCAGGGATGGCAGAGGCTGGGGGGTAAATTGTGGCATCAGGCCCCTGTTGGAGTGGCTACCTGTCTGTCTTTCTCCCTATCTCTCTTGCTTGCTCATGGAAGGAAGAAATAATTAAAAAAGTAAAAAAGATCTTCCTCATGCCAGCTGGTGGTATGATGGTTAGGGCGGCTAGATTCCACATGGTTGATTGCATGGTTTGAATCTTGGACCTGGTGACCTGAAAAACACACAGGCTGCATGTGTATGTGTGCCCAAAATTCCAAGAGGCGCATGGAAAAGGGACTGCCGTGTAGCTATCCTCCTGAGAGATGCTTTCTCACCTTCTCTCTCTTTCTCTCTTTTTCTTTCTCTGTCTCTCTCCAGTGAGTATATGTGCTCTAAAGCAAATTTAAATTAAGAGGGGAAAAAATAATTCTCCCCAGGTTGGCCCATAGCCTCATGGTTAAGAGAACTGGATCTGACATGGTCAACCATGCAGTTCAAGCCCTAGAACCAGTGGCTCAAAAAACACCCCAGGTACGTGTGTGCCCCAAATCTCGATAGGATGGAGAAATGGAGAAGACAAGTTTATGGTGTGACCATGCCCCATGGAGGAGAGAGTGCTTTCTCCCTCTCCCTCTATCTCTGTCTATCTCTCTCTGGCAAGCACATGTGCCCTCTGGCAATTTTTAAAAATCTTTGTTTTATTATCAGCTTGGAGGTTTGATACTTGCCAATTCCACAATGTCATGAAAGGGTAAGTGACTATGGTTCAAATCCATCTGGAGAGTACTAGAACAAGAATAACAGATGACTTGCACTTAGCCAGATCAGCCTTATTACTTGTATTATGACATGCGAAAGTGCAGTATCAGTTGTTTTTTGGGTTTTTTTTGAGAGATTTTTGCCATAGGGCACGTGCGCTCACCAGCCAGACAGAGAGAGACAGAGAGAGAGAAAGCGAGAAATCACCCCCCAGGGAGGGTGGCCACGCCACAATCCCTTCTCCTCCATTCTCCTCTCAGGATCTTGGGCACGCACGCACACACGCCCAGCGTGAGTTTTAAGCCACTGGGTCCAGGACTCAAACCATGGCCGACTACATGAGAGTCCAGCGACATAGCCATTACGCTAACTGCTGGTCCCAGTGCAATATCAGTTTTTAAAAGTAACTGTAGGGCTAGCAGGTGGTGTGGTGGTTAAGTCCCTGGACTTCCACATGGCTGACCACAGTTTGAGTCCTACATTTTTATTTTCTCTCTTTCTCTCTCTTGACTATAGCAAATTAAAAATTAATAAGCTGGGGAAAAACCATGTAGTACACTGTAAAGATGTATAGTGATGAAGTGTAAATAATAAATATATATTAAAAATAAGAAGTATTCTAATAATAATAAAGAAATAAAATTAAATGATTCTTTTAAAAAAATAACTGTGAATAAGAAAGAAACCAGATAAATGAAATATGTGATGGAACAGGCAATATTACAACAGACATAGTAGAACTAAAAATTATCATTAGAGGATACTATGAGTGACTATATGCCAACAAACAAGATAACTTGGAGGAGATGGACAAATTCCTGGATGCATATAATCTACCAAGATTGAATTAGGAGGATATAGAAAACCTGAATAGACCCATAACGAGCAAGAAGATTGAATTAGTAATAAATAACCTTTTGACAAAGAAAAGTCCAGTCCAGATGTCTTCACTTCTGAATTCTACAAAACTTTTAAGGCAGAGTTAATCCCTATCCTACTAAAATTATTCCTAAAAATTCAAAAGGAGGAAAATCTTCCAAATTCATTTTATGAAGCCTCCATCATCCTCATTCCCAAAACAGATAAGGACATGACAAAAAACGAAAACTAAAGACCAATATCATTAATGAATATAGATGCAAAAATTCTCAACAAGATACTCACAAATTATATCCAAGAACATATAACAAAGATTATTCTCATGACCAGGTAGGCTTTATCCCAGGGATACTAGGGTGGTTCAACATAGGCAAGGCCATAAATGTAATATACCATATTAAAAGAAAGAAAGTTAAAAATCACATGATCAATTCAATTGATGCAGAGAAAGCATTTGATAAAATAGAACATCCTTTCATGATTGAGACCCTCAGTAAGATTGGTGTAGAAGGGTCATTTCTCAGCATAGTAAAAGCCATCTATGAAAAACTTACAGCTAACATTATACTGAATGGGGAAAAGCTAAAAGCTTTTCCAGTAAAAACAGGTACTAGGCAAGGCTGCCCACTTTCTCCACTGCTCTTTAATATAGTACTGGAAGTCTTAGCTATTGTAGTCTGAAAAGAGAACAATATTAAAGGCATTCGAACAGGCAAAGAAGAGTTGAAAATATCTTTATTCACAGATGACATGATGGTATA